AGAGGCAAACTACTCATCAAACCTTGGGTACAAAATGGTTAACCCCAGGTGGTGAGCCGTGTAAAGATTCAAGAACAGTTGAAATCAAAGTTCCGAGTTTCGATGGTAATAATAAAGGCATCGAGCTTTCGACCGGTGAAATCCACGAGTTCGTTTTCCATGCATTGGATGACTCGGGGGCCCCACATTGCTTAGGTGGCGACTACTTCGAAATCGACCTCTCCGGCGAGAAATGGAAGTCTAGGCCTCCGGTGAAAGACGTCGGAAACGGGACTCACGCGTTTTCCCTCCAAGTGCACCCCGATTTTTCGGGCAACTACAATTTGACCATCATCCTATTGTTCCGCCACTACGAAGGGCTTAAATTCTCCCCCGAGAGATTCGCGTTCGACAAGATCCTCCGTGTGATTCCGATAAGATTCCTCAAATCCGAATCCCAGCTGCCAGCGATAAATCAATGCAGGAGTTTCGATTACTCCAAGGATGTTTGGTCAGGGCGGTGGACCCGACACAGCAAGAACGACAGCTGTCCGATTAGTGACGACGGCCGGTATCGATGCCAAGAGCCGGGTTTTTCTTGCCCCGCCCAATGGTGCAACGGTCCGTTAGGGTTGCTCGAGAGTAACGGGTGGGTATATTCGACCCATTGCTCGTTCAAATTTTTCTCGCCCGACGAAGCGTGGGGTTGTTTGACCAATCGGTGGATCTTTTGGTGGGGAGATTCCAACCATTGCGACACGATCCGGAACATTCTAAACTTCGTATTGGACGTGCACGACATCCCCGCAGTTCCGAGAAGATTCGATATGAACATCACAAACCCTAGAAACCCTACGCAGACGGTCCGATTCACGAGCATTTTCAACGGCCATCCAAACGACACCGGAAATTACCAGGGTTTGAACTCGTTGGTCAATCCGGAGTATCAAGAATTACTAAAAGGGTATTTTTCGGGAAATGTGGTCCCGGACACTATTATAATGAATTCGGGCTTGCACGACGGTGTGTATTGGCCGAATATTCGGAATTTTATCAGAGGAGCCGATTTCGCGGCCTCGTTTTGGGCAAGTGTAGTGGAAGGAGTCCGGAGAAGGGGGCTTGCGCCCCCCGAGATTGTATATAGGACCACGGTGGCAACGGGTGGCTACGCTAGACGACTTGCGTTCAATCCTCAAAAAATGGAGGCTTTCAACGGGGTCGTTTTGGATAAGATGAGGAAATACGGGGCGCTCGGAAAAGTGATCGACGATTTCGACATGACTTATCCGTGGCATTACGATAATCGGTGCAACGACGGGGTCCACTACGGGCGGGCCCCGCTGAAGATGAAGTGGAGGGATGGGGAGATTGGGCACCAATACTTTGTTGACCTTATGCTTTGTCACGTGCTGATTAATGCAATGTGTGTGAAATAATTGTGAATTTGTATTTTTTTTTGTAAATGTAACACAATTATTGAGCTGTCACATGATATTTTGATAGGGATACAGAAAATAGAAGCAAATTTTTGTTAGCCCAATTCTTTGAGGTGTATCTATATATATGGGCATATGTTGTATAGATATTTAATTTTATTACATATATTACATAGTTATTTTCATGCATTGTTTTGTCACTTTATTAAATTGTTAATTCTTGTTCAACATTTACTTATCAGATGGGAAGTTTAAAGATTATTTTATGACAATTTGGGCCAAATTGTTTATAATTCAACAATTTGGGCCGAATTCAAGAAATAATTAATTTTGAGGCCCAATCTAAGAAATGGAATTTGGGCCCGAGTATGGATTCCTGTATGCTATTCATCCTATCATATCAACACAAGAGGCGCAAAAATAAAACAAACGACGAAGTTAAACCTAAGATCTCGCTAACATAATATATGTATCTCAGAATAAATAGTAATCGGAATGTGTTTCTATTATCGCACCACAAACGCAACAATATAGAAACGACTAGCAACGATAAACAACAAAACGACCAAACAAAACTAAGACCACTTCATTCTCGACTAAAATCTCACCATCAAAACGATCTCTATAACCAACAACGAAACATCACATGCGTGAACTCGTACTCAATTTACATGAAAAATTGAACTATTACACTAATCGAACCGTGAATTCCTATCATCGCACCACAAAACGGTCAAATCAAACCAAAAACTCACAAATTCGGCAACGAAGTGAGCGATACCCAACAATGAAGCACATAGCAAACAAAACGGACGTGGTTAAAACGAGGGACTTATTTCTAGATAAATGTGTGCGGCGGATTTGTCTTTAGTACCAAAAGGGTATTTATGTAACTTCACCTTAGTATCTATCTATGCACATCACGTGTAAGAAAAGAAGCAGTTACAGGCTTACAGCGAAGTTTTACCTTTTCAATGGAAAAAAAAAAAAAAAAAATCGTATCTTAGTAGCTAAACAAAACCGATCACAAATCACAATCTCAGAAAAAAACTATATAAATTCCATTTCCACACCCAAACGCGCCTTAAACAGCAAAAAACATCATCAGCAAGAAAGAAAACCCCACCCCCAATTTGCAAAATTGGCAATAAAAAGATCACTGTGCGGGAATCACTTTGATCTTTCAACCCAACCCAAATGGGGTAAAATCCGCAATCCAGATAAAGGGGTTTTTGTCTTTAGGGTGTTCGACAGATTAATTTTAATTTTCCTCCTCCCCTCCCCCCCAATTCAATCTGGCAAATTTAGGGGGGATTAATTTGAGGCCTCGCTTGTCATTGAAGCAAGCTTTACCAGAGGACCCAGACGAAGAAGAAGCGTGTCGGCCGTGGCGCAAGAAGATCTTGTTTTTCTCACCTCATTCGGTAATAATGGCGTTCAAATTCAGTTGGGTTTCTCTGATGAAAATCTCGCTGTTTCTGTTGCTGATTGGCGCAATTGTGATTGCTTGCTTCACTCTCCCGATTGAAAAGGTTAAACGTCGTCGTTTTTTTGGGCTTCTCGTGTTTTTTTGATCCGTTTTTTGCTTGTTTTTTAGGGTTTTGGTTTTGTATTGGAGAATTTGGGGTTTTTTTTCGGTGCCTAATTTTGTTATTAGGTGATGCGTTCTTAATTTGTATAGATGTCTTTGGAGTAGTTTATTCGAACTAGAAGGGCCGTAAAAGACGACCAATTGAAAAGAAAGCATTCGATCTTGTGAACTTATTGGTTTCTGGCTAAATGTGTGACCAATTTAGTATTA